GTTTGAACTATTTTGCATAGACAAAAATACAGAGCAGTGAAAATCATTAACAAGCAATCGTTCGTTGGGCTGAATTGCACAAAACGCATGATCGCATCGGGTAGTCTGGTGCGCGTTGCTATTTATTAATTGTCAAAATTCGATTGTGCTCCTCCTTACGATGGGCCAACAGCGCCAGACAAACTGTATATGTTAGCACATAGAAGATTTCAAGCCGCCGTTCACTTCCAGTCTCCTAGCCAGCAGGAATATTCAGTGTTTGCATCTTTAAAATTTCTGAAACACTTTGCGCGATTCTGGGAGTGTATTTCAGGCGTGCAGGTGTTGGTGATGAGTGCGGCGACGAACACATTCGATGGTGTGCTGCTCGGGCTGGCGCAGCAGATGGAGGGCGGCGTGCCTGAGTTGCTCGACACTCTCTTCGGGTAACAGTTTCATTTCCTTGCCGTCACTCTGAACTGCTTTATATACTCCGTGCTCGAAGTTTGCTTGCCTCAGTCGACCGTTACACTGTGTGGTGGCGAATTTCCGTGCTGAAGAGAGTTAAATGAGTATGCCCGGAGTAATCTCCGCGGCAGAAGAGTTTTGCCGTCGCGTGTTTTCCGGCAGTTCAGTTGCAGTCGGATTGAGACATATTCACTTGAGCAGCTGTTTGTCATCGACGCCCGTTGTCACGCCATCGATGTACCATCGATCCTTCCAGCTAAACAAATTAAGACTGGCCGCCAAAACTGGCAGGAAACACCACCTTAAAATTTCAGCTTTCTAGCTTTTCTGGCTCCTGAATTAGCAATTTACTCACACTGGCAACTTCTCCATACGATTCGTTGTTGTGCTCGCCGAGTCCACGCGATACCACACAGGCGTACCATCGGGTCTCTCCACCTCACTGGTGGCCTCCCCATTGTTCACTTGACCGTGCGCTAATACCGTTCCATTATCTGTTTCGTCCATCTGTTATCTGACATCCGTGCCACATGATCAGCCTACCTCCTCTTACTGGCGTACATTACTTCAGTAATATCTCTCACGTCAGATCTGGTTCGTAGCACTTCGTTTGGTATGTGTTATAGCCTGTTGGAGCCAGTCATTCGCCATTCCATTGCTTTTTGCGAGACAGCTAATTTCCGTTCTTCAGCAAGCGTAGTATTCCATGTCTCACACCCATAATAACATGGCTGGTAGGACGGTCGAATTGTAAACTGCTGCTTTTGCAAATGAAGTAATCTTATCATGTGTAATAATTGGCCAACGCGCGGACTGCCTGCGCGAAGATGCGTTTTTTGCATAGTTCCTCGCAGTTTTCGTAGCTACCGGTATCGGTTTTTCCGGCAGATCCTTCTAGCTAAACAAATTAAGACTGGCCGCCAAAACTGACAGGAAACACCTCCTTAAAATTTCGGCTTTCTAGCTTTCCTGGCTCCTGAGTTAGCAATTTACTCACAAGCCCGCTCTCGGGTACCACGCATACCCGATGTCTGGGTTTAAGCTCGTTGAGACTTACTTGGACAGGAACATCTTCCTTAAACTACAGTCTTTTAGCTTTACAAGTTCTCGAGTTATGAGCTTACTCGAGAAGAACTTTGGTGAACCCGTGCGTAGGTATCACGCATGACCGAGGGCTGGGTTTGATCTCGTTGAGACTAATGTGGACGAGAAACACTCTCTTAATGTTACAGTTTTCTACCATCTCAAATCCCCGAGTTATGAACTTGCCCGAGAAAAATTTTGGCGGTCCCGTATGTGGGTGTCACGTTTACTCGCAGATTGAGTTTGAGCTCATTAGTACCTACTTGGACGGGAACATTCCCTTAAAATTTTAGCTTTCTAACGTCTCAGATCACCCAGTTATGAATTTACGCGGGAAAAATTTTGGCTGGCCCGTACGCGAGTTCCACGCTTACCCGGGGGTTGGGTTTGGGCTCATTATTACCTACTTGGACGGGGAACATTCCCATAAAATTTCAGCGCTCTAGCTTTTCTGGTTCGCGAGTTAGCAACTTACCCGTAAAAAACTTTGGCGGGCTCTTACATGGGTATTACGCGGGAGAGACCGCCCACTTTGGGGATGGGGCCCGTACGTGCATGTAGATTAAATCACCAAAGTTTCAGCCCTGTAGCTTTTGTAGGCTTCGAGATGAAAAATCGGTATAAAGGCCCTGCGCACACACGGACACACACACACGCACACGCACAGACACACACACACAGACAACCTCTCGTCAATGTGCGTTTTCCGCATTGCATAGCTGCAATAAATGGCCAACGCACGGGCTGCCCGTGCGAAGATGCGTTTTTTGCAGAGTTCCCCGCAG